TATATATATATATATATATATACCACATCTTCTTTATCATTCATCTGTCAATGGACATCTTGGCTCTTTCCATAGTTTGGCTATTGTGGACATTGCTGCTATAAACATCGGGGTGCACATACCCCTTCGGATCCCCACATTTGTATCTTTAGGGTAAATACCCAGTAGTGCAATTGCTGGGTCGTAGGGTAGCTCTATTTTCAACTTTTTGAGGAACCTCCATACTGTTTTCCAGAGTGGCTGCACAAACTTGCATTCCCACCAACAGTGTAGGAGTGTTCCACATCCCTGCCAACATCTGTTGTTTCCTGACTTGTTAATTTTAGCCATTCTGACTGGTGTGAGGTGGTATCTCTTTGAGGTTTTGATTTGGATTTCCCTGATGCCGAGCAATGTTGAGCACTTTTTCATGTGTCTGTCAGCCATTTGGATGTCTTCTTTGGAAAAATGTCTGTTCATGTCTTCTCCCCATTTCTTGATTGGATCATTTGTTCTTTGGGTGTTGAGTTTCATAAGTTCTTTATAGATTTTGGATACTAGCCCTTTATCTGATATGTCATTTGCAAATATCTTCTCCCATTCTGTCGGTTGTCTTTTGGTTTTGTTGATTGTTTCTTTTGCTGTGCAAAAGCTTTTTATCTTGATGAAGTCCCAAAAGTTCATTTTTGCCCTTGCTTCCCTTGCCTTTGGCGATGTTTCTAGGAAGAAGTTGCTGTGGCTGCAGTCAAAGAGGTTGCTGCCTGTGTTCTCCTTTAGGATTTTGATGGACTCCTGTCTCACATTTAGGTCTTGCAACCATTTTGAGTCTATTTTTGTGTGTGGTGTAAGGAAATGGTCCAGTTTCATTCTTCTGCATATGGCTGTCCAATTTTCCCAACACCAGTTGTTGAAGAGACTGTCTTTTTTCCATTGGACATTCTTTCCTGCTTTGTCAAAGATTAGTTGACCATAGAGCTGAGGGTCCATTTCTGGGCTCTCTATTGTTGCTTTTATTGTTTCTAATAGGATTAATCCCTTTATTTCCAAAATGAATTGATAACTCCAAATCTATTTTTTTATTATTTTTTGAAATAGCATAAAGCATGCAGTCATGGGGTACAATGGACTCCACAGGTTATAAAGGGCCTATGTGTATAGAAAGTTTTACTAATTTTGATAGTTGCCATTATATCTTTTGAAAATGAAAATTTGTTCTTGAATAGAATCAAATTTGGCCAGATTTTCTCAATTTAGCTGCAATATTAAGCTACTAGCATATGTGTTTTAATTTGTCACAAGTTTTTACAAAAATAGAGTAGGTATAGATTAAAGGCAAATCTATGTTTTTTTCCAATAATTTAAAAAAATTATTATTCTGTGAGATGCTTGAGACACTTTAAGTCTCACCTAATGTCTAAGTGGCTAAGCAGTTGTAAGACCATATTATAAAATATGAAATAAAATGTGAACATTCATCTCTAAACAATATCACTGAGCACATCAAATTTGTCTTTTGTAATTCAGATTTATTCTTGCTAATGAAAAATATTTAAAACTAATGCATTTATTATTGTTCAGGTCTTTGGAAAAAAAGTATGTCATGACTGTATTATTTTACTATGTAAAAAAAGCATAAATATATATTATTGGGAATTCAGGACCTCTTTGAAAGGGCTTTGACCTTTTTTTAGGTTTTTAGAATAGAAAAGTCTCTGTTGGCAGTGACAAAGCACTAAGAGCTGTCTTAAAAGCAGGTAACTCTTTGATAGTTGGTCACATTTTAGCCACTAGAATGAAGAAGTCTTTGTAAGATCATATATTAATTTATTTGTCAATAATACCTATCTCATAAAGACTAGGTGGAAATTGTCCTTTTAAGATTTATCATGCCTTTCAATTTAAAAACTCCGATAGCCAAAATGTCACTGAGAACTGAAACATAGAATTCTTGCACTCTCTGATTTGTCAGTTACTCTCTGAACCTTGGCAGATTTCAACAATTAAGTCAAGTTGCTGAATTGCCTGTATTTCTGAGTCCAGTTCTATTAATTTAAGTGGATGAAAAGTTCATTGTGAAGATGAAAAAATTATTTTCAGTAGACTTATGCAAATCATTATTAGTTATTGCTTTGTGTAATTTTATTAAAAGTAAAATTGAACAAAAAACTGAACTAAGAATTTTCTGGGTAGTCATAAATTATGTGAGTGCTAGTTTTTTGAAAATTTGCTCTTGGATTTTAGTTTGGACAAGTTCCATCACCATATCTATAGCATCACATTCTTTCCCCACGTTTCAAAACAAATTTAAAAAAACTATTTAATGAATACTATGGGAAAACAATGTTTTAACAGTCTATCATGATTCAGTATAGGGGCTCCAAAGGTTGAAAAAAAATGGAAGTTTTAAAACAATGATGATTTTGTTAATGGCAAATCTTAATTAAAGTCTCCAAATTTTGTTTTAAAATTTATACTTTGAGTTAACACAAAATGTTCATTTATCAATGAAGTTTTCAGTTTCAACTTAAATTTTGATTTTCTAGTATAAATTTTTTTTTAAATTTTATTTATTTGACAGAGAAAGACACAGCAAGAGAGGGAACACAAGCAGGGGGGAGTGGGAGAGGGAGAAGCAGGCTTCCCGTGGAGCAGGGAACCCGATGCGGGGCTTGATCCCAGGACCCTGGGATCATGACCTGAGCTGAAGGCAGATGCTCAACAACTGAGCCACCCAGGTGCCCCTCTAGTATAAATTTTTTACTGTACATTTTTTCAGGGTGGAGGGGTGTCTTCATTACCTTCCTTTTTCCTTTCTGATAAAATTCACTTGTATCTTTCACTTTAGGAATGTTTTTCCACACCACATTTCTCAGTCATGTTGTCTAATACCAGCCACATCTATTATTATCCCTTCCATTCCATTCATACCTCCTTCTTTTACTCCCTCTAACCCTCTGGCTTGGAACTCCTGTGTGTGTCTGTGTTCATAGCAGTCTTTTTGTAATATTAAGCAGTTCTTCCACTGATTCATCAAATATTTATTGAGCACCTGCTCTGTGCCAATTTGTATGCTAGATTTTGGAGATAAGATAATGATAGTCCCTCATTGAGCTCTTTGAGGTTGAGGTTTATGTCTTGTTCATCCTGGTATCCCTTGTGCTTGACACACACCTGATTCATAACTGACCTTTCATAAAACCATTTTTAAAGGAATCTACAAAAACCCATCTGCCTATGAAGTGTTCCCATTTGTATTGACTGTTTCCTCTTAGTTCCAATAACATTTATTCAAGTTTTGGAGACTATTCCACATACCAGTCAGTAAAATATGGGGGATAAATATTATTCTTAGATTTTCAAATGAAATTCACTAATGTGGCAGCAAATTGCCCGAGGACAAGGAACACACACTGTGCAAACATTACTTCAAATACTTCATTGCTATATTAAGCTGGGTTTTAATGCAACATTTGGTTGAATTGCTGACTTTCTGGATAGGATGTCTGTTGTGGATAAAGCAATATGTGCAGCACTGGCTTCGTGAGGCTGCATCCGAAACATACCTTTTGTTTTGTGACCCAGAGACCAAAAGGTTGAGAAATATAGAATGTAAAAGGAAATTAAGTTGTCTATTTAAAAATCATATAGTATAATTATTTATATTCTTATCACAATGGAAGAGACTACCATGTGGCAAGGTATGTAATATCAAGACATTTATGAAATTAATTTGATTTTTATTTCTGAGCAAAATATAATATTTTTAAACTGCAGAAATGCATTCCAGAAAAATCTTATAAATATTTCCTGATCCTTCTTCTGTGAGTAATCAAAATGAAATTGAACTGGGATGACATGTTCATATTCAGTTATTCAGTTATTCACTTCCTGACCTTGCAAACTTGGCTTAAAATAATTTCTTTTCAGTCACACTAGTTCCCAGAACTGTGAGACTACTGTCAAATTTTTACTTGAAAGGGTCGATTCGTGTATTGCCTGGCATTGGATTACAGTCCTGAAATCTCTAAAATCTCATTCTTTGTTTTGCCCAAACTTCTTGTGAAGAGTGAGTGCTCATGCTGACTTTAATAGCCCTCATTTGTTTTTCTAGATAATGTATGAGTTAGTCTTCATGGTTTGTAGAACTCAAGATCAGACTTGCTCAATGCCATTCCTTTCTTCCATTTGTATTTTTTTTTTAAGATTTTACTTATTTATTTGACAGAGAGAGAGAGAGGACAAGCAGGCGGAGCATCAGGCAGAGAGAGAGAGGGAGAAGCAGGCTCCCTCCTGAGCAGAGACTGATGTGGGGCTCAATCCCAGGAATCTGAGCTGAAGGTAGATGCTTAATTGACTGAGCCACTCATGCACTCCCTTTTGTTTTATTTGTGAGGAAATTACCCCTTTCAGGAGCAAAGAGGTTGATAAAAGATGACTCACAGAGCGCTGTGAATTGTGCAAGACTGTTGAATCGCAGATCTATACCTCTGAAACAAATAATGCAATATATGTTAAGAAAAAAAAAGAAGATAGCAGGAGGGGAAGAATGATGGGGAGTAAGTTGGAGGGGGAGACGAACCATGAGAGACGATGGACCCTGAAAAACAAACTGAGGGTTCTAGGGGTGGGGGTGGGGGGATGCATTAGCCTGGTGATGGGTATTAAAGAGGGCA